GATACAGGGCTTTAGAATATCGATACAGTATTGAGAAATGAAATATCGCGATATTTCAGTGTATCAATATTTTCTTACACCCCTATGGGATACCATCAGCTGCGTAGGATACTCAGATGCAGCCTACATTTTCAGAGTTTTGATCCATCAATAATTCAGTCACTTTATTTATTTGACCAAACATGATACAATTAAAACTATAAAAAAATAAAAACAGAGAAAAAGACACCATTACAAATTTCTGATGTAACTCAATTAAAAGCAGTTTTGTTGGCCGCATGAGAAGGAACCCACAAAATGTGGCCTATGGCATAGTAACTGACCTACAAACACACCCTCTGCAGCACCTGAATTGAGACAGCCAATTGCTGCACCAAAAGTACACTGAAAACTACATAGTTTAACTGACTCATTTGTGTTTTTATTGTTTTAGGTTCTGGAAAAATACCCTAATACACCCATGAGCCATAAAGAAATTTTACAAGTGATCCAAAGAGAAAGGCTTAAAGAAATCAGGTAAGCATGTTTCTGGCAGCATGACAGCAACAACCCCTCAGAAACAAGACATTTTCACAGCACAAGYAGCACTGCTGTTGTGTCCCTTTTTTAATTTTTTCTGCGTGCGTCATGTTTTTTTTAATTATTATTATTATTTTGTAGTTACAGCTATTTTACTCTGTAAATAACTGTTTCATTTCCTTTTGTTTCACTGTCACTGTTGTCATCCAGAAGGTAAGAATAAAGCTAGCCCCCCTCATCATCTTAACAGTGTCCCTACATTTTCATTTTTGTTTGAATGTACTTCTTGCATGTTTTAACAGTAACATGTTCTAGATTAATTTGCTAAGTGTTGGATTCACATTTAGTTTGAGTCTGACCAACAGACAAAAAGTGCTGACTTTTTTTCTTCCAGTTTTGTCATTACTTTGGTTTAAAAAATGAAATATTTGTGATATGTAAACCTAAAACAGTATCATTATCAAAGCAAACTAACGTTGTATTGAATTAGTTGCTAACTCACTAAATGTATGTGATACTTATTGTGATGATGTGGAATTAGCAAAAATGCGTATTGAGAAAAACTAGTTGAATTTCTTGCATGATTGAAGTTTGAACTTAAAATATTGATTTATTGTATAAAACACATTTTCATATCAAACCATTTAACTCTATCACTATCAGTTGTGTACAATCATTAGCTCAGATAATACGTAAAACACAAGAAATTTTCTTCACTAATGCATTACCTGATTGGAGAGGGCAACACAATGTCCTCTGAGATCAGAGGGGCATTTCAGAAAGCATCTGTAAAAACTCGAGTTTTCTGTTCCAGAAAGAGGTAATTATTATTATTTTTAATGATTAAAAATACAGATCAGGAATTCAAGAAAAAACAGTAACAATGTAGGATGAGGCAAAAACCCAGTAACTTGTATAAAGCCTCCACCCAAATAGTAAAAATAAATAATCCAACAATACAGTCAGTTGATCATAAATTTATCAAATGTATAAATCATATAAAATCATCAATCAACTAAATAAATAAATAAAAATGTCACCTTTTGAAAATCTGAATAGGAATTTGAGTATATAAGAATGATAAACATCACAATCACAACTCTTTTATTAAGTACAACTTTCACAGAAGGCCTGCCTTTTGCTGAGTGGGAAAAGTCAATCTCAAATTCAGTTCTCCTGTATGGGACTGAAAATTGACCCCTGTTAGTTTGATATTTGTGACCCATCACATTGAAATCAGGATTAAGTCTTTGCATGATTTGAAGCTTGATTGAACTTAAAACATTGATTTATTGTATAAAACACATTTTCATATCAAACCAGTTCTTATCTATTTTTTAAAAATGTAAGGAGTAGAAAGTACAGATAACTTTGTGAAAATGTAAAAATAAGAAGTAGGCTGAAAAATATTTACTCAAGTAAAGTACAGATACCCAAATTTTCTACTTTAGTACAGTAACAAAGTATTTGTACTTAGTTACTTTACAACTCTGCTGTAATGTAGTCCTATTAACATTACATTATTAGTGTAAATATGCAAGAGTTAGCACAGTAGATAAATTTCATCACTTGTCCTAAGTCTCTAAGTGGTACTGTATGTGGAGAAATAGGCAGATACAGTGTTTTGATTATATTTGCAATAATTGCATTTTTTCAAAATATAATAAATAAATGTCTTATCAATGTATCATTTGGATGAACAGTCTGTAGTACAGCGTTGTATAAAGTACCTCAAAATGATAGTTGAGTAAAAGTACAAGTATGTTATCATAAAATTACTTTGGTAAAAGTTAAAGCCTGCTCTAAGAATATTACTTGGGTAAAAATCTTAGAGTATCCAATTTTTTTGTACTTAAGTATCAAAAGTAAGTTTCTGACATAAAATCTACTTAAGTATTAAAAGTAAAAGTATTGAGTAACAGTGAGTGGTTAGATTTTTCCAAAATACACTTATTGGGAGGTGACCTCAAAATATTTTTTCTAAAAACATGCAGCTGTGATGGATTGTGTACAAATTAATACAGTATCAGAAGGGTATACGTTTATACTTCTCATCCAACTGCAATTAAATTCACTCTGTCCTGCCTGCACAGTTTATCAGGATAGTATTTTTTAACACTAACAAGCTGTAACAAAATAGGAGAAATGACTTTCTACTTCTTACCTTTTTTTWAAAAAATGTAAGGAGTAGAAAGTWCAGAAAACTTTGTGAAAATGTAAAAATAAAAAGTAGGCTGAAAAATATTTACTGAAGTAAAATACAGATACCCAAATTTTCTACTTAAGTACAGTAACAAAGTATTTGTACTTAGTTACTTTACAACTCTGCTATAATGTAATCCGAAAAATAGTAATGTATCATCGTAATCAACAAGACAAACTAAGTCATATCTCTGGAACCACTTATATCAGAATGATCCAGGTATCAAAATGTAGCTTTTAAAGCCAGCAATCTRAAAATGTGATTTGGTCATTTTGATCGAAATGGACTTAATCCTGGGTTTGATGTGATGGSTCACATTTTAAGAAGAGGAAGAGCTGAACTCTGGGGAGTTAAGTAAGAATGAAACTACAAATTAGATTTTAAAATAATGAATAAAATGCATTGGTATGTTCTTTTGTCTTTCATAAATTTTACAAAATACAAAATATAAAATACAATTTTGAAAAATGTTATCGATGGTAAGAATTTGTATGTCCTTAAACAGAGGAGCAGGACGGTGATAATCTGATCAAGTTTCAAATCTAATAGTGTTTTTGAAGAAACTAAATTTAGAGTTCAGGGAAAAGTACTTCCCCAAAGTATATTACAATAAGATTAATATGGGTATATCTTGATAAAGGACTCTATGGGAAAAAAAAAATACCTTACTGGCAAGTTTTCTTTGCCTGAATCAAGCTGTGTGATGAGAGTTGTTCAGTTTTAGTAGATGTGACTGATACAGAAGCAGAATTATGCCATAATGCTGGATGCCAGGAGTGGATTGGATGAGCTCATCATGTTAGATCAGTATTGCTCATTTATCTCTAACATTCTTGGGCCACACACATCTAATACAGGGGCACAAATGTTCATCACAACAGTTTTGGTGCATTGCACTGAAAAATAATTTGAATAATTTATTTTTCTGAATAAAATATCTCTACAATCACCACAAAAGAGAGTACAAATACAACAGCTAAAATTTGTAATATCGTTCCAACTTTAACATTTTTCTCCTGTGAAAATCTGCCCTCCTTAATGGCTTTCTTCTATTAGAGTGTGTGGATCCACTTTCCTGATTTGTAGGTGTGTTTCCTTGTCTTTTTAAAGTCTTGAGACGCTGCCTCTAATAATCCTTTACTGGATATAATACTTACTGATGGTGATTAATAATCCTGCTAAAGATTTACCGTGTTCGTTAGTGCTCATTATTTAAAATCCTACAGAATTACAGTCACAACATGTAGTCAGAAGCCTGTAGGGAAGTAAAATGTAGAATTATTTACACTTTGCAAGGCCATAAATTGAAGTTTCACTTAAAGTAAACTAAGTTATCCTCCTCAAACATATCACATCACATCATTCTGAAAGGGATTCAGAAAATATCTTGTAAACAGAAAGCAGTCTGAAATTAGCAAAAAATATTCTTCAAAATGTTGCTATAGCTACAATACACAGCAAATCTTTATTTGTTGTAGAAATTCTGTTTGCTTCTTTGTTTTTAAACTTTTTAAGTATTTTCCGCAACTAAAATGCTTAATTATACAATCAGTTTAAATTTCTGACAATCTAATTTTTTTTGGTCACCTTTTTTTTTAAAGAACAGACAAACTCAAGGTGAAGCAGGGATTTTTGGTGAATCAAAGTATTAGATCTTCATTTATGATGACTTGTACCTTGCATGTCATGAGATGAAATCCTCGGAGCATTGTAACCAGCTCTTTTGAAATAGAAAACTCAAGAGTTCTCTGTCTCAAATTATTTAATTAAGAGTTCACGGATAAACTTTAAATTTCTTAAATCCCCCTTTCTGAAATACCTCCTGAGCAGCCTTTACTCTTCTTACATCGTTTTCTTAGAGGTCTTATTTATTGTTTAGTAGATGTATAATTTGTAGTTTTTGTTTCTTTGTTTTTCCTCATCATCTAGTGGAACCTCACCTCTGGCATGCCTGAATGCAATGCTGCACACAAATTCTCGAGGTGAAGAAGGAATCTTTTACAAAGTTCCAGGCAGAATGGGAGTTTACACACTCAAGGTTAGTTGGACACAAAGCATGGACTGAAGAAGTGTTAAAGGGATCCCCGATTAGTTGTAACATTTGACTTTTATTTACGGTAATAAACATATATTTTAACTGTAAAATAAAGACTGTAAWATACTGTAGGATGTTTAGTTTTTATAATTTTTAAACTAAAAGTTTAAAAATATATTACACGGACGGGGCCATTTTATTTACATGCAAAGTATTCTGGGTAAATGATGACATTGGTAGGTCATCAGAGCGAGGCTGCTAGCGAGTTATATCCACCCTGAAGGTTAATCTTGGACAATATCTGATGATCGACTCTTTTAAATGAAACCAGAGAGCGTTGACAGAGAGGAGAAGGTAGAAATGACTCAGCCTGGAACTGAGAATATGGATGGAGGACCTCAGTTTAGCTTGTTTGTCGCGCTAGCACCAAGCTAATACATATAAGGCAATATAGCGTCAGTACTAGCACAAAGGCTAACAGGCTAAGCTGAGGTTCTTCTTCCATGAAGCAGCTCTGTTGTCCTCCATCTTTATTTTCARTTCCAGGCTGAGTCATTTCTACCTTCTCCTCTCTGTCAACGCTCTCTGGTTTCATTTAAAAGAGTCGATCATCAGATATTGTCCAAGATTAACCTTTATGGTGGATATARCTCGCTCACACCGAGGACCTATCCACGTCATCATTTACCCATAATGCTTTGTGTGTAAATAAAATGGCTTTGTCCGTGTTAAAATATATTTTTAAAAATGTACAAAACTAAACATCCTACAGTATTTTTACAGTCTTTATTTTACAGTTAAAATATATGTTTTTCAAATAAAGTCTAATATTACAACTAACCAGGGATCCCTTTAAGAATCATGTTGTTTTCCACACACAGACTTTGTTAGGATGAGGTGAAATTTAACACTGATGGCTGCGTTTTTGTGTGCACAAAAAGGCTCTATTGTGCTGTGGATTTTTTTGAAACAACAAATAAAGATCGCTACAAACAAACAGTACCCATGTCGACAAGTACTTAGAGTCCAGCTTGGTGATGGTGTTGCCTGTTTTTTGTGGTGACTGCTGGAAGTTCATTCTAACCACAATCGCAGCAGTAAAACACTTGGTTGTATTGTGTTGTAACAACAAACCCAGCTAAGGCGGTTGCTTGGAACACAGACCACCGTCTGCTGCACTTATACTGTATGAGAAGAAACTGCTGAATACACTGTTCAGCTGTTCATTTGTCACAAGTAAATAGCTGATCCGTGCAGAAAAAAATGCAGTAAATGTACTAAAATGACTTTCTTTGCTAGTTTTGATGATATTGGCAGAGGAATTATACAGAGTTCACTAGAAGACATTTAGAATAAAAGTTATCTTCAGACAAACAAGGGTTAGTAGATGTGGTATGTGTTAGAATATTTAGTTTTAAAATATACAGAATCTCAAAAACGTGATTACACTCCTCACATTTTTAAAAATGCTTTATTTTATTTTTTCATGGGACAACACTGAAGATATGACACTTGGATACAATTTAAAGTACTCAAAATGTTACACACAGCCATTATTGTATAAATCTCTGGCAACAAAAGTGAGGGGTGTGCTCACTTTTGTGAGGAACTACAGTTAGGTCCAAATCTGTTTGGACAGAGACAATGTTTTCCTAATTTTTGTTCTGTACATTACCACAATAAATTTAGAACAAAACATTTCAGATGCAGTTGAAGTTCAGACTCAGCTTTATTTAATTCAGTGGGTTGAACAAATTAAATAGATGTAAAAATAAATGCTCATTTCTAATACTTTGTTGAAAACTCTTTGTTGCAGTAACAGCCTGAACTCATGGGCATCACCAGACACTGTTTTCTCCTCTGCCAGGCCTTCACTGCAGCGGTTTTCAGTTGCTGTTTGTTTGTGGGCCTTTCTGACTGAAGTTTAGTCTTTAACAAGTGAAATGCTCAGTTGGGTTGAGATCAGCTMACTGACTTGGCCATTCAAGAATATTCCTTTTCTTTACTTTAATAAACTCCTGGGTTGTCCTGATGCATCTCAGTAATCCAGGTAGAAAAAAATCAAAAAGAAAACATAAGKAGGTCCTCTGGATGGGTTCTTCTTCAGTGAAACGTTTCATCTCTCCTCCAAGAGACTTCTTCAGTCTGATGAGTTTCAGGTGAACTCAGCCTTATAAGCACTGCCTCCACATGGACAAACAGGTTAGTCACATGCAAAAGAGGGCCATCAAGTGATGGCCCTCTTTGCATGTGACTAAATAGAGCTAATCAAGCCTATTGTTAGGCGATGGCCCTCTTTTGCATGTGACTAACCTGTTTGTCCATGTGGAGGCAGTGCTTATAAGGCTGAGTTCACCTGAAACTCATCAGACTRAAGAAGTCTCTTGGACGAGAGACGAAACGTTTCACTAATGAAGAACCCATCCAGAGGACCTACTTCTTTTTTCTTTTTGGGTTTTTTTTAAACTCCTGGGTTGCTTTGGCTTTATGTTTAGGGTCATTCTCATCTGTATTATGAAACGTCAGCCAATCAGTTTGGGTGGATTTGAACAACAGTATGTTTTTGAATACATCAGAGTTCTTCCTCCTGTCTTGTGTCACATCATCAATAAACACTAGTGACCCAGTGCCACTGGCAGCCATGCATGCCCAAGCCATCACACTGCTCTGCTGTGTTTTACAGATGATGTGGTGCTTTGGATCATGAGCTGTACCACACCTTCACCAAACTTTTCTCTTTCCTTCGTTCTGGTAGAGGTTGATCTTGGTTTCATCTGTCCAAAGAATGTTCTTCCAGAACTCTGCTGGCTTTTTTAGATGTTTTTTTTTTTAGCAAAGTCCAGTTTAACCTTATTATTCTTGATGCTTATGAGTGGCTTGYAGTGTGCAGTGAACCCTCTGTATTTACTTTCATGCAGTCTTCTCTTTATGGTAGATTTGGATATTGATACTTCTACCTCCTGGAGAGTGTTGTTCACTTAGTTAGCTGTTGTGAAGGGGTTTCTCTTCACCATGGAGATTATTCKGCCATCATCCACCACTGTTGTCTTCTGTGGTCATCCATGTTTTTTTGCATTATTGAGTTCATCAGAGCTTTCTTTCTTTCTCAGGATGTAACAAACTGTCGATTTTGCCACTCAAAATATTGTAGCAATTTCTGGGATGTTTTATTTTATTTTTTTCTATTTTGGCAGCTTAAGGATGGCTTGTTTCACCTGCATGGAGAGCTTCTTTGACCGAATGTTTTCTTCACAGCAAAATCTTCCAAATACAAGCACCACACCTCAAATCAACTCAGGCCTTTTATCTGCTTCATTGAGAATCACATAATAAACAAATAGCTCACACCTGCTTATGAAATAACCTTTGAGTCAATTCTCCAATTACTTATGGTTTCTTTACAAGAAGGGTGGGCAAACTATAATTTGAATATGTTTCAGTAAGCAGGTAAAAATAGGTATGGACCTAACTTTTTGCGTACATAATACTATGTATAAACACTGTATATTAGTTCTTGTGTTTTTTTTTTTTTTGGCTGCATAAAAATAATCTGCAGTTTGTGCTGATTTGATCCACACAGAAGGACATCGCAGATGTGGTGAAGAAGATGTCAGAGGAGGTCTCTGATGACAGCAGTGACAATCTGTCTGACTCCAGAAGCACAGAGAATACTGCTGTCACTCAAGAGGGCTGTAAAGGAAGGTGGATGCGAAGAGGTACTTTCTGCATTCAGACTTATTAAAGCCTACAGTGGAGAATAATGTATTTGAGAATGAGGAAACTGACGGAGAATTGTGGTGTTTTTTTTACATGGCACGTATGGCGACACGCATCAAAAATAAAATGTGGTGTATATTATTTATTATAACTCTGGTTTTACTTGGCCTTTCAACACAATTTAAAATCTGGTTTAAACAGAGTCACAGAGAGCGTCTTTCTGACCTTTCTGGTTGGCGTGGACATTATCAGTTAATCATATCAGTTAATAAATTTTGATCTAATAAACCATTATTCAAAACCATTATTAACAATTTATTTGTTTGCATCCGTGTTTACAACTATGGTAATTAACTTTTACAGTGAACTCAGTTTAATATGGTTACCTCAGGCAACTTGTATAAAACAAAACCTGGCTCTAACTCATTAAAATTTACAAATATTGACCTAAATATGGTGTGGTTGTATCTGAAACTGATCATCAACATGCATTCTGTCTGCTAACAGATTATGCAAGGTCATTGTTTGAAATGATGCCATTATAGGCTGTCATTTGCTATTTTAGAGCTCCTGCCCCACAGAGCACCCCTCCCCAGAAGCATTGTTGTAAAGATGTGCTAAAGTGGGAGTGTCTGAAATGGTAGGTCTCTTAAAGAGACAAAGGTCAATTTCAAGGTGTTTTAGATGGGCTATGATTTAAAGCAGAGATTCTTAACCTGTGGGCCGTGAGCGCCACCTTGAGGGCCTCAAAAGAACAACAGTTTTTAACTTTGGGCTGCAGAGGGCCGCGGGACCATTTTGAATAAGGTGCAATACACTTTCTCACCACTAGTAGCAGTAGTGCGCCACTCAGATGTTTAACAACTTTTTTAATACGTTGAATGGAAACGTATTTTAAATTAAAAGTAGAAGACAAAAATGAAAGTAACCCATCAAAAAACACCAAAGTTTGTCACTAATATGAAG